CCCCAAAACCCCAAAACCCCAAAACCCCAAAACCCCTAAATCACTCAAACTAATTGAAATTTCAAAATTCGAAAACCCTAAATCTCTCAAACCTCTGTATAAGACCATCTGCAGGTATAACCCCATCAAATATCCCTTATTCATTTTAAGTGACAATAAACCTTCCTCAATCTCTTTTAAAACCCTGAAATCTCAAACCGATAAAACCTCTAATTTTAAATTTTTACAGCCAAAATTTGATGATTAGATCAAATTTAAATTATTTTGAAATATAGAAGGAAACTAAGAGAGTTTAGAAACAAAAGCAGGAAATGAGGAAGATATTAGGGTGTTAGAGGTTTTGGCACAGATAAGGAAGGGTAGTCAAGAGAATGATATTAAGGAATCTTTTAACAATTGTGATTGTTAAGGCTTTTAAAGTCGACTCTAGTCAAGTTTGATTGATTTTTGTACACTGTATATTTATGTGCCATTTAGAGACTCTATCAGAGACATTTTGTCATCATCAGTCATGTAAACATCAGTATCTGGCTCAGGTTCATCTGTTTTTCTCCTCTTGACTCCACATAAGTTGTAAATAGAAAAGGCAGGATTGTTCTCAGTCTTCTCATAGTACCTTAAGAAGTTAAGGATGTCCTTGCTCTTAGCTTGTGTATTCCTAACAAAGTCAATTGATGGTCCTATTTTCTGTAAATTTTTGAATAGACTATTCCTAGCCTTAACTAGAGTACGAACGTCCTCTCTTAGTAAACTAAAGGCTTCATTTAGGCTATCTTTAGTCTTTAGTATCATATCTCTCATATGTGAGGAGACTTTTCCCTCATAGAGTAGCCTATCACCCAGCTTAAAATCTCCATCTTTCAGCAAGTCTAGAGCTTTGGCTTTCGGAAGTTGCAAGAGCTATATTCAAATAGGAATGTGAGTGGAAGAAATATGAATTATTCAAAATTTATGAGCACATTTATATCAAAATTTAGTAAAGTTCTAAGCCTGTCTGATAACTTTAGAAGCGTATGGTAAGAAATTAGATGCTTATATTTAGTAAATTATAGGAAATTCCTACTTATTGTGGAATGGCAAGAAATATTCAGAGACAAAGTTTAACATGCAGCTTTCATAACTTTGTGGTAAGGTCAGGTGAAATTATTAGCAACTAGGATTGAAGGGATTTATCACAATTTTTTGGGAAATTGTGACTATAATGAATGGGAGTAGTGGGATAAGCTTGCATACCTGTTCGTAGTCTGCTTTAGATTTATCAGAAATGTTTCCTGAAATAAACACCAGACATTTTTCAGGACTACAAAGAATCGTATCCAGAATGGCTCTGAAGTGATATTTTATTTGTCTAATTCTCGATTTAGATTCTGGAGAGAACTCTTTCAGAAGTTCGACAAACTGATCTGGATCCATCTTATCAAGAGAGTTCTCTCCATCTTCTCTAATCATTTTCCTGAATTTTTTCTCAGTCTCGAAGAACTCAACAGCTGGGACTCTGAATCCTGATGCAAATGCACAGTTGTCATTATTTGAGCTTCCAAATTTCTATAGATAAAGTATAAATAAATCAGCTTTAACGATGATATTTAAGTCCTTAATCTCCACTTTATTAGATATTCAAGATCCTGTTTACCTAAAATCCTAAACTATTAGGTGAGAATAACCATTGATTGTAGCGAAAATAACCAGAGGGTTGCTAAATTAATATTTGATCCTCATTCTTTGTTTCTTTAGGGCTTTCATAATTAAAAATGTGATGGGAAACGAAACCTTTGCTAATGAAAGATTTTTGAGAACTAATATTCAACAACTGAGTATTTGCACTTAAATTATTTAAATTAAACTCTTTGCCTTCAGATTTGAAGCCATTAGAGTATTTAGACAATCGATTTCGCCTGCATTGGGCTTATTTAGAGTTATTTATATTGTGTGATGATCCGTTCACTTTTTATAAATTTTCATCTTGGTTTTATTACCTAGTCTAAGAGGCTTTAAATATTGTATATTTTTAGGTATATAAAAAAATACATTCTGCTTTAACAGAGAGAATAATGTTTTATTCATTCATAGTTTTGCACTTAATGGCTTAAACATGAATTTGCGTTAATAATGAATGTTTCTAACAAGAAAAACTAATTTTGTATAAAACCTTCTTCTAATCTACTAAAATTCCCAATCAGCAGCAATTATCCTCTTTCCAAATCCCTGTTTCAAATTTCAATTCGAACATTTTCTTCCGAAATCCCTCCCGCCTTCAATACCATAATTAAGCTTCTCAACTTCAGTTTCCAGGTTTTCAACCTTCGCCTCCAGTTCCTTCACATACATCTTCTGCCTCCTTCTATTATCTCTACTATATTCCTTCTGTTTCTCCCTTCTCCTCTCCTTCTGCTTACTATTACCAAAGGTCTTCTCTAAATCTTCCATATTCTAATAAATTATTCTAAAATCTCCTCTTCCTTAGGGGTTTTGGGGTTTTGGGGTTTTGGGG